TTTGACTTCCCTCTGACTGACCTATTCCACCCGGGACCCGGATTTTGACTACGTTTCGGAGCCTACGATGTCGCGATATTCACATTCCCCCCCCCGGGTGGAACTGGAGCATCAGGCATAGGAGGTGGGGGTGGGGCGGTGGGCATAGCTGCTGGGGTAGAGGCATCTGGCATGGGAGGTGGAGGAGGGGGAGCAACTGATACCGAGCAAACAGCATCTTGGTTGATTTTCGACGGCTCTGCAACCTTTTCGACGGGTAGTGGTTCTGCTCCAGGAACAGCTACCGGTGAAGTGGCACAATCTTGTGATGTTCGCTCTTCAGTTTGGGTTCCAATGGTTGCAACCGTAGGAAGAGCTCTCGCTGATACAGGTGTTGCACTGACGGTTGGTGCTTCATCTTTTGCTACAGTTTCAACCTCTAATTCAGGAGAGGCCTTATCCAGTTTTTCGGTTGCCAAGGCTTCTGTTTCTTTTTGAATAAAGGCCTTTTCTTCAATTGATGGTGACTTAAAGTCAGCAAATGCTTGGCTTGTTAATGACTGAAATTTTTAACATGGAGAATGTTATAGTTTTGTTAGGATAGTAAATTACAATCGCGCTGGGGGTCCTTATTTTTGCACAGGGAATTACCTGAATGCTGGCTATCATTTTGTTTCTTTCAATTTCTTGTTGGTAATTGAGAATTTGTGCCTCAAGATCAGCTATCTTGCTCTCATATTCTGTGAGCTTTGCTGCATACTCTCCACGTAAGGTAAATAGAGAATATTCTTGTTTGCCAGCAAGATTAGTAAGACTTTCTCTGTGCTCTCGTTTCAGACCCATCAGTGTTTGCTGAAATTCTTTTGTAAACAAAACAACACTTAATTAGTCATTTGTATTTAATTATAGGTGCAGGTCATATTTAATTACTTGGACTACATCTACTCTACTCCCAAAGTGGTACTCCAACAAATATACTGTAACCTTCAACAACTACACCAAAACCATTCTACAACATGCCAACTTCAATAATGAAAGTTCATTAGATGTGGAAATTGCCGCTTTAAACTACTGCTAGTTCTGTGATGTACATTAGCAAAACTACTTTATAAAGAGAAGACTCTGTGAAAAAGTAGTGTGCAAACGAGCTTGCTATGGAAGTAAGAGGTCAAGTGCAATAGCCAAAAAACAAAGTGTGAGGCACATGTAAAATACGTGATAAAATACTGAAAGAGCACTAAAAGGTGGAAATAAAGAGAAAGTGAGAGGTATGAGAAAGGTCAAAAGCTTTCAAATATACCATACAAGACAATTTAATACATAAAATATCTACAAGGTGCACAAAGTCCCAATGTGCTTCAATCTCCAAAGAAATGTTTGTACCTTCTGAATTATCTCCTCCTATTGGTGTTACTGGCACAGATGTACTCCTTCCTTTGCCCATTCCATTTTCTTTCATTTTTGTTTAAATCAACCAGGGCAAGAGGAAAATGAAATTTTACATTGACAAATATTTGATAAAACTTTTCAAGTACGCTCATATTTTCTTTCCATCTTTTTTATAGAGAAAAATAAATTGACACCTACCGGCCTCTGTGTACTTGGCGCCGGGCCTGGAGCTGGAGCCCTGGGCGATGGGGATGCCAGAGACACCCCCCGGGCCCATCCCTATCCCCAAAGCGGGTGGCCATGCCGCCTGCGACAGGCGCCCCGGGGTTGGGGGAGCGGTTGCTACAGTTTCCGCGTGGGTCCAGTAGTAGATGAGGTCCGGCTGAAAATTATTACAAAACATACAAACACCGTGAACACAAAAACTTGCGGACGCCGTCGGCCTCAAATTGACCTCAAACTGACCCTAAACAGGGAATCCAAGGGGTCCTTATCGAGGAGTTGCCTGACAACCCCCGCCTTCAGCAAATTGGTGCAGAACTGGGCGGCGATGATGCGGAGGTCCTGGGGCATAAGGACCTGCCGCAGATAGTGGTCGTCCGGAAAGGACGATAGGAACCAGTTGATGAGGACCTGACCTGGAACCAATAAAGAACAGCGGCTATTTAAAAAAATGAAGTTTATATTCGAAAGCCGAAACTTGTACACCCCACACTTAATGAGATGCAAATTGACCGAGAGCGGTGGTGGACGGGGTCGTAGCGGACCGCGAGCAGGGAACTGAGGAGAAAATGCGCGAGACGACGAACCGCGCGGGCCACCTTGCCGGCCGGGCCGGGCGGGGCGGGCGTGGGCAGAGCTGGTCGATGATGCGTAGGAAGTGGCGGAAGGATAACTACTGCCAGCTGAGTCGGCCCCTTGTTGCCCCGGTCTCGCCTTGCCACGCCGCGCCCCAGCAGTCTCTGGACCGTTCCCGCCCGGGCCGCGATTAGTCATTCAAACTCTCAGGTGGAACTGGGGACATCAAAATGTCAATGTGGCCGTTTTCTGGCGGAATGTATTGCATACGGATAGCCAGATTGATGCCATTTCAGTGACCCCGCCAAAATGGAGTCAACGACTTCATTTTGACTTGCCTCTGACTGACCTATTCCACCAGGGCGGGACCCGGATTTTGACTACGTTTCGGAGCCTACGATGTCGCGATATTCACATTCCCCCCCCCCCAAATACCCGCATGATTCTTGACGCTTTTGGTCGCATCACACAAAGTCACCTGGGAGAGGAGAGCGCCACCAGCAGGACGAGGGGGGCGCGGGGAGCGGGGGCGCCGACGCCGACGACGGGGGTGCGTACTCGAGCACGACGAACTGGCGGCCGCGGTCGGCGCACAGGGGGCAGGGCGCGCACCTCGCAACCATAGCACCTGGCTCATCGCACGTCACCGGCAGCTGGGGCGGGCAGCTGCGGCAGCTGCACGGGGCCGTGCCGGGACCACCTGCCACCTGCCGGCGAGGAGAGCGACACGAAGACTGGCCGCGGGGCGCAGTAGCGGCGCGCGGGGCCTCCCCGCCGCCAGGACGCGGTTCCGCGGGAGGGAGGGGAGGGTGGAGGGGGAGGGGAGGGGCAGCGCGGGATGAATGGACTTTTGGCAAGAATCCAGAGCAAAAGCGGGCGGAGGTGAGAGACTGCTGTCACGGGTGTCACGGGCAGTCACGTTTATGCGCGGTTTGAATGTATTCCGCAGAAACAGACGCCCGCCGCCCCCTGTCGGGATCGCGCACAGATGCGGCTTACTCTCCAAGCACTTATCGCTCGACCGTGTCACCCGCCGCCGCCCCCACGCAGGCAAGCACTGTTCACCTCAGCTGCCACATCCGACCAGGCCCCAGCGCAACCCCAGAAGAGTCCTGCTACAGAGGACTCCAACCTCTATACGCGTCGCGAAGAGGGGTAGGGG